ACATCGAGTCAATTCCAACTCATAGCAACCCACGTGATGCAGCAGAACTGCCCAATGAGATCTTCTAGGCCATAATCTTTATGGGAAGGGGAAAGATGTTGCAGTCTGCTTCCATAAAGATTTACAGCCTTGTTCTACTCTGTCCTATAGAGTTGCAAGAATTGGACTAGACTCCACTGCAGTGGGTTTGGTTTGGTATCTTTACGGGGACAGATTGCCAGGTCTTTCTCCAGTGGTGCCACTGGGTCAGTTCAAACCACCAACCTTTTGGTTAGCAGCTAAACCTTAACCATTGTGTCACCAGGGTTCCTTAGACAGCTTTTCTGTTTAACTCCCTGATGAACATGAATTACAACACCTTAAATAAATGTGTTAGCTGGCTTCTAAGATGGTCCCCAATAATCCCCATGTCTTGGTATAATACCCTCTATATTATACCAGGGCAGAAGGGATGGAATGTCTTATCACTTTGGAAATTAGGTTATAAAAGACCTCCACAGAAGGAAGACAGGGCAATCTACTTCCATAAAGATTTACGCCTCAGACACCCAAAGGGGATGGCTGAGTCTGAATGGACTTGATAGCACTGGGTTTGGGCTTTTTTTAGTCTGGTCGCTTAATGTATCTGTTTCTGTCTTTTTCTCTTCCCCTCTCTTTTTCTCTCCTTCATTACTCATTCTGGGGGAAGCCAGCTGCCATGTCTTAAAAACACTCAGGCAGCCAGCCCTGTGGAAGGACCCACATGGCAAGGAACTGAGACTTCCAGACAACAGCTATGGGAGTGAGTCTTCTTAGAAGTGGACCCTCCAGCCCCAGTTGAGGCTTCAACAGATACAGCTCCAGGAGAAAGCTTGACTGCAACTTCGTGAGAGACTCTGAGCCCGAAACATCCCACTAAGTTGCTCCGGATTCCTGATCAGAAATTGTGTGACATGTTTGCTTGCTACTTTGTTTTAGGATATTTTGTTATGTAGCAAAACATAACTAATACAATGAGCATTGGCCATACTTCAAAACCCAAATTCCTATATTATAAATGTTTAGATAATTAAAAATAAAAATTTAAATTGCCAAAATAAGGACCCAAATTTGTTTTAAAATCCTGGGCTGAACACTGACAGGAAACTGTAACAAAGTCAACTTTCCAGGTCCACTTGTGAAAACAATGAACCAACAACGCACAGTCAGCAAAATATGGCTTGTTTCTGGAAGAAGACAGATCAGGTTGAGCAGGTTAAGTTGAGAATGTAACATTACCATTTTTAATATTGGGGAGGAAATCAGTTTGTAATTTTAAAATCACAACTTACTATTTAACTATGATAAGATATTCCACAAAGTCTGTCTTATCTGTTGCAAGTTGATTTAAAACCTTTATCTTGTCACAGACTATATCACAGACCTACTGATAAATACACAAAAAAGATAAGGGCAATATACCAAATATTACCAGATTACACTGCCATGTCAAAGCATGCATGTTTCTGTAATGTTTCCCAACCAAATCCAAAGAGCATGTAAGATTTCCTATAATGAGAAATAACTTTTTTTAAATGAGAATTTATTTCATTAGAAAGTACACATAGTACATACACATTCAGTTTATTAGTTGAGTATTTTAAAACATTATTCAAAAGGCAACAATAAAAGAAAACAAGAAAGTTTTGCATTTGTCTGACTGGAAAAAAGAATGTTGATTTCACCAGTGGAATGGGCTGTATACATTCTCAACATACTAAAACCCTCTCTCCATTAAATGATGAATGAATGAATTCACTAAGCGATGATTTTGGTTATCTCCATAACTATTCACCCACTCCTCATTTATCAACATGGTTAGGTTCCAAAGACCAGGATATAATGCAAAATTGGCATTATATGAGTCTCTGCTACTCCTGGACTTCAGTGCAAGTGTTCCTCCCCCCATTACCCACCTAACCAGCCCCACCCACTCATCTAGCAAGTGACTGACAGGTCCCCATCCCCCTTTTCCACCATGTTTTCTCCAACACAGCAGAGCTCTCCTGGGCTGGAGATGTGGTGGGTGGTCAGGTGTTGCCCACCACCTGCCTCCTCCAGCCCTGGGGGGGGGGGGCAGGGCCCGCCACTCAACCTCTGCCCATGCTTCCTCCCTGCCCTGGGCCAGGACCAGGCTCATCCTCCAGTTGCCTAGGCTCTGCAGCCATGCAAGGCTGCCTTCTTTCTCCTTCCTCCCAGCCACCCAAACCTCCCAGGCACATTCGACCCTCGCTGCCAGCCCCCCATGGCGGTCTGCAACCTCACATCATCCCATCATTGCCCTGTGCCCTCTGGACTGGCTAGAGCAAGATGTCACAGACAAATGGGAGAAGGCATCCTCCCTTATGTGACCTTGTCATCACTGGGACCTCCAGTATATTGTTGGGGTGGCCTGTGGAGGGTGCCTGGGCTGGCTATGGCCCACATCGGGCCCAGACCATCTGAAGTGTTGCCTGAATATTTTCATGCTTGAGCAGGAGCATTCATGCTTTGACATGGCAGTGTAACCTGGTAAAGTTCGGTATATTGCCGAGATAGTCCGTAAGTGAGAAGTAGGTGTACAAGTCGATACTGAAAAGAGTAAGTGAGGACTGACTGTGCCAAAAGTTAAAGCAGCAGCATCTCTAAGTGCCACCTGATTCCAAGGGGAATAATTTGGCCACCAACATGGGCTTTGACATTATTTAGCTTACACTACAAGAGCTAAGCATTTGACTACCACATGGTTTCCTATAACCTTGCCCATTTCTCTTGAACAAGGAAAGCAATTTAAATGGCTAACTTCTCCCATATAACTTACATGATGATGATTAAATTTAACTGATGCTAACTGATCTCCTAAAATTCACTGACTGAAATGTTTAGGTCCTTTGCAGAATACTTAAAACCACATTAAATTAAAGCATATCATCATTGGAAAATAGCTGCATCTCCACTACAATACTGAAGTCCTGGGCTAAAACAACAACGTATGAGGTAAATAAAGTTTATCCAGTTGTATTAAACATATGATTTTCAAGAAACTGCCACAAAATTATATCCACAGGCCCCACCAATCTTGTAACAACATTGACCATGCAGAATTTCCAAGGAATTACTTAGAAAAGGTCAAATGTGTATTTAAATAATCTTACCTATGGAGAAAAATTCTAAAAGTTAATATTCTAGTATAAATCAAAAAAAAAAAAAACCACCACTGCCATGGAGTCAATTCCTACTAATAGCGACCCCCTTTGAGTTTCCAAAGCGGTATGTTCTAGTGTATGACCGGCTATATTGCTTTCCAAGGAGCACATTTTCAGAATTTAATATTTTAAAATTGCACACTGAGTGCATATGCAACTTGCAAATATGTTAGTACTTGATTATGACTTCATGTAACATTATGATGTTCTAATATGTTTAATAATTGAATTGGCTGGGATGCTACATTTTTTCTGTAAAAGTACTGTGGGTAGACAATGTCTCGAATCATCTAATACTGTAACATGGGCCACAATTCCCTGAACTGAGAAAAACATGGTCAAAAGGCACAGCTAATAAAAAGTCTCTGAAGGAGAAGTAGCACTGTTAAGCTATGCTATAAAAGAGAAATTCACATTCTGAGGGGGATAATTCTTGCTTTTATTAGCACACACACATACACCTTCAAGTGTGTCTCACAAATCAAATGCCATGTTCCAAATCAAGGTACTCTAAACTTAGAAATCTACGGGCTGTTTCTGTCTGCTTACTTCCAAGAAAAACAAGTAACATTTAAAACTTTCAAATGCATCAGAATGTAATATGGAATAGTACCAACGTGATTTATCTGATCGTACTTGAATGACAAAAGTATTTTAGGATTGAATTATTTTAGTTATTTTCTGACTTCTGAGTGTCTTCCTTTTGATTTTCTGAACTTTTGCCCTTTTCACCTGGACTCAAACTCTGACCTACCACATTCTGCACTCGTTTTAAAAATATCCTATTTTAACATGTTAGCTTAAAAATAGGGAGCTCTGGTAGCATAGTGGCTAAGGCACTTGACTGCTAACCAGAAGGCTGGCGGTTCAAACCCACCAGCCACTCCTCGGAAGTAAGATGGGGCAATCTACTTCCGTAGTGATACTGCCTCGGAAACCCAAGGAGGGGTCACAATGAGTCGGGTCCGTCCGACTCGACGGCACATAACAACAACAACAAGCTTAAAAATAGCGTGGTTTCATCATTCAAAGTTACTTTTGGCTGAAGTCTGCTTTTTCTTGTAGACAAAGCCACAGATTCCCAGAAACTCTCTTAATTACTTCATTCTTCCAACCTCCAGGCAAGCAACGGAAACGCGAGTTTAACTTGTGCAGCACCGAACCCCAGACACACTTGCAATGATGTCTCCGCAGTTGCTGCGTGATCCACTCCTCCCGTTTCCCAGGAAAATGTTTCCTTCGGCTGTTTAAATTAATCCAGTTAGATGCGCCTGGAAAGCGGCAGCTGCGCGCATCCCCGACTTAGGAAGCAACACCTCTTCTTTCGGCCACCGCTAAAACCTCCCCTGGATCACCCTGCGGGAAAGTTTCCTCCTGACTCGGGTTTGGGACACTTTCGGGGCATGCACGGCGGCACGCCACCTGCACTGCCGCACGGTCGCCGGAAAGCAGCAGGGCCTGGGGGCAGGCGGCTGGGGAGGGAGGCGCACAGCAAACCAAAGCACAATCAAAACAATGTCTGTCGGCTGGCATTTAGTAGGCTGAAGCGCCACGGCTGCGAGGCTGGGGAGCAAGCGGCCCAGCGGGAACCCTGGCTGCCTGGCACGATCGCGCTCGTCCTACCAGCCCCGGGGACACTCACGAGGTGGAAAGTTCTCCCTCTCGGACGTCCCAGGGAGGCCGGGCGGGCGAGGGGGGCCGGCGGGTGGGGCGGGGAGCCGAGGGCCGGGAGGACTCAGGGAACAGGGGACGGGAGGCCGCGAGGCTCCGGGGTCGCCGCCCGCGCGGGCCCCTTACCTTGGGCGATGGCTATGGACTCGAAGCGGTGCAGTTCCTTAAGCAGGCAGCTCCTCTCGGTGGAGTGCAAGCTGTAGATGAAATCGCGCGCGCCCTGCGCCGTATTCAGCGCCTCCATGGGCTCCTTCTTGGGGTGGGTGCCCAACCCCCGGGGGCCGGCGGGAGCGCCGCCCGGGGCCGCGAGCGCCAGCAGCCCGCGTCCGCAGCAGCACGAGAAAGGCGGGCGGCGCGCGGCGGCGGCGGCCGGACCCGGCCTCAGGCTGCGTGCGGTCCGGCCCCTCAGCAGCGGCAGCAGCCGGGACATGGCGGGCTGAGGAGCCGGGACCCCCGCGGCAGTCCGGGAGGGGATTGCGAGCGAGGCTGTGGGGAGAAGGAGCTGGCTCAGCCCGACCCCGCCCCGATGTCCTCCTGACAGGCAGTCGAGGCGCCGGGCACCATGCACTCCGTGGGCCCGCACGGCTGTCGCCTCCTCTCTCGTCGCCCCTTCCCTTCCAAAAGGCCGACGGAGGTTCCGGCCCCTCCAACGAGAAAACTTTCTCTGAGGTGGCGGAGCCTGGGAGCTCCTGGAGAGGGCGAGCGGGAGGTGCGGGCGGGCGCGCGCCTGCCGGCTGAGGAGGAGCGGCGCGGGCGGGCGGGTTTGGCGTGTGTATGTGTCCGTCAGACTGCTCTTTCTAAGGGATGAGTCAGCCACGCGCCGCCCTCCTCCGGCGCCGCCCTCCTCTGCCTCTCGCTTTCCTACCCTCTCGCTTTCCTCGTTCCCACTCTGTGGTGCTCCCGCGCCCTCAAAGGAGCCGCGCTCCCAGGCCGCAGCCACCGCCGCTACCCCTAGCGGCAGTGTAAGGGGTAAAACGAGGCGGAGCGGAGAGGGAGAGGGCGGGGCGGGGGCGGGGACGCGCAGGCGCAGTCCACCTGATCGCGGGACGCGCTCCCGCCCGGATGTAAAGCGTGCACACGCTTCCCCACCTTTTCTGGTGCGTGAAGACAGAGGGCGCTCGCCGCCAGTCCTGGCATCCGCTACCGTGGCGTCCAACGGGGGGATAAGGGAGAAAGCGCTTTGGACAGCTCGCGCAACCATGTAATGCAAATGCCACCTGGCCGTCCTACTGTGATCCTAAATCTGAAGCTCATTCTGAAAGGGGCCCCACGTGCGGCTCCCTCGCCGCTGGGCCCGCCGGAGACGAAGCCGACCACTCCCTAGTCAGCGCTGCCGTCTGCAGCTTCGCGGCATCACCACGCCCTGCTTTCAAGCGTTTGGGAAACGAAGAGCCGGAGCCGCACCCTTTAAGTCGGCAACCACAGAGGCCTGGACCAGGCAGCCAGGTCTCTGAGGCGTTCGGGGCCCTCTGCGTGCTCTAGACACGGGGCAAGTCCACAGTGTCCCTTTCCGAGGAGGGTTTGCGACCGAGATCTTGACACGAGAACACCCTTTCCGTTTCTGATGCCAGCAGCTGCAGGCTGTTAGTATTTGACCCGGGCCCGGCTGTCACAGAGCGTTTCTTGGTGGCTGCTTGTGATTATTTTACTCTATGCCAACTCGGAAAGCTGCTTTTCTTCACGGTTTCCACGTGTGTATCTTTTAAGGCCCAGGCCAAAGACTCTCCTGCTCCCTGAAGCTTTTCCTTACCTCTCCCTAGGGAAGGCGATCTCTGCTTTATCTAAACCTGGCTAATCACACTTAGGCATCCTGTCTTAGAGAACAGATCCACTTCCAGTGGATAAGTGTAATCTCTTTGCAAGCAAGATCTAAATCCCATCCTTATCAGCCACTGCTCCCAGCCCAGAACCTTGTGTAGTAGTTACGTTGTTGTTATGTGCCGTCGAGTCGGCCCCAACTCATAGTG